TTGCAGTAAGGATCTAACATCAGAATGACTACGAACATCCTTGAATCTCAAATTTTTGACGGCTGAAATATTAATTAGTCTCATAAGTTTATCATAAAATATTCGATAATCGCCATCTTCGTTGTTTCCATTGATTCGTAGATATTCAACATTTGGATAGTGACGTGCGCTTGTAGTGCTACAACTTTGGATTGATGGTTGATACGTAGATACATTTAAAGAGATAATATTGTTGTATGCTTGTGACTCACTTGTTGCCGTTGTTAGCGTTTGTAAATTAAATGGCTTTTTTAAATACATCGATGACATTTTACATGGAACCGAATAAATGTATAGATTTTCAGAACTTTCTAACGGATAATAATCAAATGTGAAAAACCATTGCTGATCGCTCCAGAAATTTGTTTTAAAGGGCAATAATAATCCATTCAAATCTAGATTTTCTCCAGAATAACGAACGGATATACTAAACTCAAATGACTGTAGTAGTGGTAGGAACTGAACAATTAATCGTTCCCACATATTACCATTAACAAATTCCAAGGAATGTCCTAGAGAAAATGCGTACCGAAAGGTTCATTAATTGACAAGTCGGCTACTTATGTACTTACCGGAAAATACGAACTTTTTCAGTTGTGGCATATGGCGCAAGAGATATTCTGTTTGTTCATATGATATCCATCGACTATCTAATGCAAAATGCGATAAATATTGCAACGATGGTAGCTCGTATTCCGGATATTGTTCTCCATACGTACAAATGCAAACGGAGAAATGTTTAAGTTTTGGTATATGTTTAAGCAGTGCTATCATTTCAGTTAAGTTACAATGACTAATTTTCAAATATTCCAAATTTATTGGTCCTGTCATCGTCGTCTGAAAACACATCGTGTGAGGAAATGCTAGCTTACAATGTTTTAATGCTCTCAGCTCTTTCCAAATGATCATTTTGCAAATTTTCTTTGTATCCGTTTCAACGTCATTTCCCAGTCTACTAATAAATTGAACCTATAAATAATAAGAAAGAATAGACCTATATCACTGACTTTCCTGCAAGACACTAATGTCTGCAATTGCCGCTAACCCTCTGATGCATAAAAGTAAGAGATAGATTCGTTAAGCATTCGAATTTTCCTAATTTTGGTATAAGATCTTTTATATTTGATGAAAACAATGCATATATCGTTAATGATTTTAATTCTGTAAACTCTTCAATATCAGCTAATAACTGTGAGATTGAATGTTTGCTAACACGATCATGTCTGTCATCAAAGTTAAATGAAACGACATGATTTTTCAATATTTTTGGCATGATTATTTCACAGCAATAGTCAAACGTTTTCTTTTGATCACCTGATAATGATAAACGGAAACGCGAAGCAGAGATCAATAAGTTAAGACGAGAATTTTGGTTAAAGAATGATTTAAACAAATCGGACGGGCATATCCAATAAAAAATTTCAAGTAATATTTCATTCGGCAAACTTTCGAGAAGTAACATATTCTTGCAACGAATTGCCACCTAAAATGAAGAAGTTAAATGGATTTTGTGTTTCGGAAGTTAAATGACTTTGTGGTTTCAAATATCCGCATGTGAGACATTGATTTCACAATAAAAAAGATATCAAGTCATTCGAAGTAACTATGGTCCACATCTACAATTTTCATAGTATTAAAATCATATTTAAGCCGACATAGACGAAATTGCGCTTGCAGAGAGACCTGACTCTTAGCTACTTGCTGTTCTATAAGAGGCAGTGAAAATTTTGCTTACGCTATAATTCCGTCAGATGAAATGCTAATGAGCTTAAATTTTTAGCAGAGCTGTCTTGGTATGAGTACAATGCATGATAAAAATTTGAACTTGTTTGAGTTAAGCGTTCTCCGGAAAAAATTTATTCTTTAGACATAAACAAAACGTCATCGGGCGTTTTGCAAAGAGGTTTTCGCAAACCGAAGATGGTGTGTTTGAAGGGCTCTCTACGGTTTCGCGAAGTAGACCCAGAGTACTACCATGAACCGTCGTCGAATTTTCGCGGAAATGATGGAAAACACTCGAGGGCCTCTTGTCAAAACCGGTCAGCGCATCTCGGAAAAACCTGAAACTTTTTCTTTTAAAACCCACTGAACATCATTCGACGCAGAATTTCATTCTACATCTGAATATGTATAAATGAAAGGTTCCAAATATCAACTTATTTTTGAAATACACCCTTTCCTTCATCCGTGGCGGCAAAATCCTTTTCTACCAACTTTTACAATTCTATAATTTTAAAAATTGGTAAAAGTGAATTGCGACCACAGTGAAGGAAAGATCGTCCTTCGAGAATAAGTTTATATTTGGAATCCGCGTAAAATTCTCTTTCTAGTCCGTGTCTCTTTGTTTTCCGAAAAGGTTTGCAAAGGCGAAATAACAAGGGCTTCGGAAAAAGATCTCCGAAAAAACGAAATTTAATGTTAAAAATCTGAGGTTTGCGCAGATCGATAGAAAATTGAATTCTACATCGGACTATTGAATCCGAAAACTCTTTCAGCTGAAAGATGTGGCTGAATTTCAAGATAACTGTCGAAAACTGTTTTCCGAAAAACTTTTCCAAACCTTAGAAAATCCGAAGTTTTTGGCATTTTTCTCCTGTCCTATGCACGGTGGAACCTTCATTTATACATATTCAGATGTAGAATGAAATTCTGCGTCGAATGATGTTCAATGGGTTTTAAAAGAAAAAGTT